CCATGGAACCTTGAAAAAACTTTATACTACAAAACAAAATCAAACAAGGTATTTATGTAAGATGTATTTATCTATAATTGTACGATGATATTTTAACTTTTACTTTTTCAAAAATTCAATCAACTGTCAAAAAAATATTTAGTGTTTCAGTAAGTATCACCAAAATCTATATTGAAAAATTGTATAAATCTATTTTAGTTGCATTAAAACTTTGTTTCTATATCTTCATTTTCTACCAAGTTTTTAGTGTTCTTAAATGTCTCATATTGTTAAGCATTTTCAAAATAAAATCCTCAATTTATTGAAAAAACGTGATTACTTTTGTATTGATTATTTGACGGTAATTTCTTGAATTTTACCGCCTGTTATTATTACTACCTAATTATACCTACGGTTCATTTTCCCACCTCCACTCCTAATTATGTTTTATAAAAATATTAGATTTGTCACTCAAATTACTTATGGTCAAAATTGTTTTTCTTTTTCGAAGTCACAAAAAAAAAATGTTTCCGCCCGGGATCGAACCGGGGACCTTCCGCGTGTTAGGCGGATGTGATAACCACTACACCACGGAAACAGTTAGAAACTGTTATTCAATACAATATCATAACATCGTCATGAAATTGATTAATAGTTTTTCAAGTTTTTTGTTACTTTTACTGTGGTTCGTTTACTGTTTACTAACTATATCCTACATATACAATGCTCAATATAGCCAATTTTATAATTTGAAGTACCTACATTTCAAGTACTGACTTTTACCTGAGCTTGTAATGTAATTACCTAAGCTTACCTGACTAAACATTGTAGAAGACTGAGTTTCAAACTCTCTCTTCTGAATGTGCCTAACACGATCGTATTCGTGATTGAACCCATGTCTTTCTCCTAAAAGGTGGTTTGCAAATGCGGAATTGGTTTCTCTATTTACAAAACTACTTCTATGGTCTTTAATTCTTTGGGAAAATGTTCTCCCTGTTTGGCCAATATACAATATACACCTGATCTAGGTATTCAAAGTTTTGTCTTCATTGTTTTTAATAAATCTGTGAAGCATACTATATTGCATAATAATCAGTTAACTAACAGTTTCTTGTACAGGTAAATACAATACAAATAAATGTAAATTCCATCTACTCGTCAATAAAATTCACTACTGAGAGGGAGGTGAATAATTCAATAAACTAGGTACCTTGACGAAAAATAACAATAATCATGAATTTGTAATTTTTCACAAATCGTCTTACAGGGATTGTAATATTGTAAAATTTGATAAACTCACAACTTTTCAGGTATGCTCAGTGCAAGTCAACCACATTCAGCTGATCTTCAAAAATGATCAAGTCAAGACAGCTAAAACGTACGAAAAATTCACTGAACAAGCCTATCAAGGACAGAGAGAAGAAATCTGAAGCAGATCGAATCGATTCTGACGACGAACAAGGATTTTCCAAGTGGATAAGATCCGAGGAGGGACTAGACAATCTGAAACTTTTCGTTTTGGGAAACACTCTTATTATGTTCATAGCCATTTCTTGGCCACAGATCAAGGAAGTTCTAGATTCAGCCTATTATCTTTATGTAGAATTTACCGAGAGGAGATAAAACTAATAAAATTATTTCCATTACAGATATTGTAAAATATGTTTTCCCTTGTTCTGAGGGGGTTCATATTCATCACGTTTATGTTTTGGTATACCATTGGAATGTTCAGTCTGGTTGATAATTATTTCAGGGGTAGTTTCAGGGAATATCTGAATAAAGAATTCAATTCTAATGAATATAAGAAACCTGGGGTAATGGAAGCTCTGAAAAACAATATTTCTTCAGGTTCAATAACGAAATTTCAAGAGCCTAGAGTCAGGGCTGACTCCTACAAAACTAAAGACGTATGCACTTCTAATACATACATTGAACATATTTTTTTCAAATTTTGCTATTCAGATGAGGAAGTATAGTAATCATGAAGAAGTTAGAATCATTCTGCGGTCTCATTACAGAACACAATTATTGACATTTTTCCCGAAATGAATTTTTTATTGGTAGTGTTTTGTAGACCGGTTTTTTTAGCTGATCCAACTAGTGCTATTTCGTCAACCTACAAGATCGGTTGAATTGAAACAAAAAATTTCCTATTTTGGTGAACTAGAATGACCTTTTTTCAGATCGAGACTCTCAGTGATTGTTTTTGAAATATTCGTCAAAAACTACTGGGTATTGTAATACCCAGCATTTTTTTTATCACAGAGGCTACAAAATATGATGGAAAAAACTAGAGGTGCTTATTGAAAAAGTTGATAATGAAATTGAATGAACGAAACGTCGCATTGCAAACTGGTTGGTTTCAGATTTCAACAAATATGACAATTCTTCGCTCTTTTATATTTTGAAAACTATAGTTTAACCTATTTCACAATTACTACATGCTATCCCAAATATAATTGATGTACAACTGGATATTTTAATCATAGTTATTTAATAAACTTACTGAAAGGAAACTTGTTTTTTTTTAACGAAATTGTCTATTTGAACATGTATTGTTTGTATATGTTTGACACACTGTATGTAGGTAAATGATTTCTATAGAAAACTCACTTTAAACTTGAAATTTTCTGCCACAATAAATTTATTTTGTCGCCTGGCTTTTCAAGGCAAAACAAAAGAATCTTCATTCAGTTGAGTTTTTTCCAAGTTTCTTCAATAATGTTTATTGTCAAACGAATGAAAATCATTATTTGACTTGGTATAGCTACCGCCATCTTACAGAAAGATATGTAAGTGGAGTATAGCTTCACACAGTTTGTTTTTCCATGTCTTCTTCAACTCCCCGTCTTTCAGCCTTTGAGTACTAGATGTCGCTTCTATCCAAGAAAGTAAAGACATTTGATAAGATAATAAAGAGCATCCATTATATTTTGATCTGGCCCGAAATAAGTTGGTGAAAGTCCTTCAAAAAAAGAGTATGGAATGTTGTCTCTGTTTACCTTATTTATGAACTTTTTTTGGAATATTTGCAATATTTTTGTTCAATGATAGGGTGTAAAGCGAAATGCTCTCTTAACTCAATCCAGAAAGTATTCTTTGAAAGATATTTTCAAGTAAAAGTCCAAATTTATAAAATTTTTAAGGGTTTTTCCACATTCAAAACGTATACGAATCCTGATCCTGATCTACCTAAGTAGAAAATGCAAAAGCTCAGTTGAAATGGAAATGTATAATTGTAGTATTATTGCATAGAGAAGCATAGAGAGAGACAGTGATAAAAAAATAATTTTGTTTTATGGACGCACCTTCTTTTCCGTAGCTGGCTCCCCAGTTGCAATATTTGAAAATCCTTTCTTATTGCACATCTACAACATAAATCGAACCTATATACAAAATTTCAGCCTCCGACAATATAGCGGTACGAAGAAACACTGATATAAAAGGTAATTTTCATATGTACACGCGCCCTTTCATCCCCAGGGAGGGCTCTCCAATTGCAATATTTCAAAATCATTCCTTATTGCACATCAACAACATAAAACGAACCAACATACAAAATTTTAGCCTCCAACAATATAGCAGTACGGAGAAACACTGATAAAAGGTAATTTTCATATGTACACGCGCCCTTTCATCCCCAGGGAGGGCTCCCCAGTTGCTATATTTAAAAATCCTTCCTTATTGCACATCAACAACATAAAACGAACCTACATACAAAATTTCAGCCTTCGACAACATAACGGTACGGAGAAACACTGATAAGAAGTAATTTTCATATGTACACGCTCCCTTTCATCCCCAGGGAGGGCTCCCCAGTTGCGATATTTGAAAATCCTTCCTTATTGCCCATCAACAACATAAAACGAATCTACATACAAAATTTCAGCCTTCGACGACATAACGGTACGGAGAAACACTGATAAAAAGTAATTTTCATATGTACACGCGCCCTTTCATTCCCAGGGAGGGCTCCCCAGTTGAAATATTCAAAATTCCCTTCTTACTGCACATCTACAACATAAAACGAACCTACATACAAAATTTTAGCCTCCAACAATATAGCAGTACGGAGAAACACTGATAAAAGGTAATTATCATATGTACACGCGCCCTTTCATCCCCAAGGAGGGCTCCCCAGTTGCGATTTTTAAAAATCCTTTCTTATTGCACATCAACAACATAAAACGAACCTACATACAAAATTTCTGCCTCAGAAATTATAACGTTACAGAGAATCAGTGATTAAAAGGTAATTTTCATTCCCTGGGAGGGCTCCCCAGTTGAAATATTCAAAAATCCTGCCTTACATACAAAATTTCAGCCTCAGAAATCATAACGGTACGGAGAAACAGAAATATTCAAAAATCCTGCTTTATTGCACATCTGCAACATAAAACGAACCTACATACAAAATTTCAGCCTCAGAAATTATAATGGTACGGAGAAACAGTAATTAAAAGGTAATTTTCATATGTGAACGCTCCTCTTTTATCCCCAGTGGTGTCGCCCCAGTTGGAATATACAAAAATCCTGCTTTATTACATATCTACAACATAAAATATACCTACATACAAAGTTTCAGCCTCCGACAATATAGCGGTACGAATAAACAGTGATTAAAAGGTAATTTTCATACGTACACGCGCCCTTTCTTTCCCAAGGAATATTTCCCAGTTGGAATATTGAAAAATCCTGCTTTATTGCACATCTACAACATAAAATGAATCTACATACAAAATTTCAGCACCAGAAAATATAGCGGTTTGGAAAAACAGCGATGAAAATGTAACTTTCACGAAGGAATGAAAAAGTAGTTGGTTTACGACCAAAAATATCACCCTTTGATCATAATGCATCTTCCTTTGCATTTTCCTAATTTCATAAAAGTTTTCGATCTTGCATGCTTACTGTTTCAAACCTCCAGCTGCGCAGCAATTTCAGTCACCACATTGACGGAAACCGTCGATACAAATTCCAACGTATAATGTCAACAAACCGTATTTGCCTCCCACAATTTAATAACGAATTTACGAGGTTTCCATTCGAAGCAATCGAGATAAGCCTGAAAAATTGCTCCGATCGCGGTAGCTATCAGAAATGAATTATCAATATAGATTTCCGATTAACATAAACAATTACGTGGATGCTCAGATGGAATGAAAGATAGTAGGTATTTACATGTGCACTGGATAGCCTATTTCAATCTAATCTGACAGTACCTTCTGAAGGTTGTGACAGAAACATTATGGTGTTCACCAAAATTTATGTCGCTCCCGTAATATTAGGGATTTGGTTTCCTTTGACGTTTACCACAACGTAAGTAGTCTGTAGTTAAAATCAATACTCTGCTTTCTGTTTCGTTGTAGAGCAGCGAATGTGGAATATATATGTTTTTTCGTCCACTATTTTGAAGATTTCAGTTATTGTTCGTTTTTTATATTGAGGATTCCCTTCGTAGTTTTGCACAGCGTTTCTAGAGGTCGAAATTTTGGAAACTACCAGTTTGAGCGAGGTAGAAACCCCTGGTCTTTTGTATGGTAATGCGTCCGAGATATGAAACGATACAATTCCATTTGTGACTTCTGTTAACAGAAAACAGAATATTGAAGCACGGCAAGCCTATAAGCAGGACCAGTTTACATACAAAGAAAACCAGGGATGAAATAAAAGAGGTTTCTGAATTTCTGAATGTCCTCAAAAAAAACTAAAGAGATGATTTTGTTGAAATATTCAACTTTTATTCGATCTTGAATCATCAGAGGAAAGAACCTCCACTTAGATTATTGAAAACTGAGCCTTGTAAAGAAAAATATAGGGTAGCACAGGCATAATATATTACGACTAATGAAAATCGATACTTTTCGATTAATTTAGTCAATTGTTCATCCAATAAATCCATATTTTCAGACAGGTTTTCGGAAATAACTCAAAAAGTTAGTATTTTTTCAAAACAATCATTTCTAGTGCTTCACAGGTCTCTGAATCTATCTATACTAATATGAATGTGGAATCTGAAGAAATGAACGCCGTTCGTGGTATTAGCCAGTGGAGCAGTTGTTTTCTGATAGGCGTCGGTCCATTCAACCTACCGTGTAGGTATATCCAAGACCGGCTAACACGATAAGAATAACTTGACGCAAATCAGTAAGCCATTACGCGCCGCGTCTACCGTAAGACGACGGACGATGCGCGGGGTAGAGAGGTGGTCTAGGCAATGAAGCGACGCGTGACGCGTGAGGGCAGACGTCGTTGACGGTTGTGTTAGTTTCGCGAATTTCTTTATAGGTAACATAATTAGATTGTCGAAGCTACTCATTACTCAATAAAGCTGGCATATTTTTTCAGTTAGTGTATTTCTAAAGTGAAAATATAAATAACTAGCCGTTTTCCGCTCTTATATTAACGTACATCCGAAGCTACTGAACCTAGATTCTTGAAATATGCAGGTAGTTTCTTTGTATAGCGTAAATAGGCATCAAAAAATGAAATTAGCAATTTCCAACTCACAAGGGGGAAAAACTGTGGTTCAAAGATTGAATTTCGTCAGTTTTGAAGTTGGAAACCTGAGGTTAATGGTTGATGTGACAAAACAACTAGTGAACCATATACGATAGAACTTTTTGACTGAGAAGGTTAGGACTAACGTTTTGTATTCATAGACGCGAAAATATTTCAAAACAGTAGAACTTTTTGAGAATTTGAACGTTGGGACAAAACATATAATTGTCGTATTACTTTTCTGTGAGTTCAATATCTTCACAATGTTGATATCACGTTTTTTTTATTTGACAGGTACATTGTTGCCGTTTGTACACACCATGTCAGGCCTATTCTCCCTTACATTAGCGACACAGGAACTTGGGCTCCGGAAAGTTGTATTTTCGGAATCATGCTTACTTTTGGAGGATTCTTGAGTAAGAAAAAGTACATGGAAGATCAAAATTTGAAGTAGAAAAATAAATATACAAACTGAACCAACCGCTTTAACACAGGCTCCCAAGGACTACGTTTGAATTTCACTAGTTCGGACTTCCATTGTCTACTATATAAAATGATTTGAAATCCTCGATTGTTAGTACGAAGATGTATTGTCAATGTTGTAAATAACTATTTGAAGAGTTCTATAGAACTATAAGCGAATCTGAGTATTCGTAGCTTCAAGGAGAAACTGTGATGAAAAGGTAACTTTATTTTATAAACGCGTCTTTTCCTGAAGTGGCTGGCGCCCTAGTTGAAATATTTCGCAATTCTTTCTTATTGCA